TGCAATGCTTGGTAAGAAATGTATGCATTATCCTGCCCATGTAATTGTAACCCCTCTGTACAGTATGTTCACAAATAAAATTAAATTAAATTAAAAAGAAAACCTACCCATATTCTTATTGCTATACCAACTAAACTTCATGTGGTAGAGCAACACATCTTCATCCTAGCACTCAAGAGGCAGAGACAATAGAAGCTGGAGTTTGAGGCCAGCCTAGGCCTGAATTTAAGGACAGTCTGACATACACCATGTGATTCTATCTCAAAAACCAAAAGCTGGAGATGGAGCTCAGATATAACTGATTGTTGTATTTCATTAAAGGGCACTGCTCGTCATTTGCCAGAGTTTGAATAGTTGCTTCTTTAATAACGTTAGAGGTTTTTAAAATTATTTTTTACTTCTCCACATGATAATGGACTGCTTCCTAAACTTTGGTTAGAAATCAGGAGCTGTGAGAAACAGTATTTTATTCTTTGTGACCTAAAAAATTAACGCCCTCTAGAGGCAAAGGTGTTTTTCAATGTTTACACAGTGTAGCCTTAGGCTTTGCTGCTCACCCTGCCTAAGCAATCCACAAATTCCACCTTCAGTCTTGGGAGCCAAACTCAGGAGTAGCCCCTTCTCCTTCAGCCTTTTTCAGTTGATAGATCTTACTTGAAATGATAGGAACTGTTTTCTCTGGTGGCTTTATACAAGTGCAGGAGCATTGTTTAAAAGGAAAAGGAAACCATGCAACTCTTGTCTCCAATTAATCACCAAAAAGCTAGAAGTGGAGCTGTGGCTCAAGTGGTAGAGGCTAAACTTTAGGGAGAAAAACAAGCTCAAGGACAGTACCAGTCCCAGGACTCACACACACACACACACACACACACACACACACACACACACACACACACACACACTCCATATAAGCACACACACAGAGCTGGATTAATGTAGTGAGCAGTTAGAACTTCTGCTTTATTAATGTTGCATGATTTTTCTAGCAATTTTAAACCAACCAAAGAGTGCTGGCCTTAGAACAAAAAGAAAACAACATTTGAAGACTCCCACTGTGCAGGTCAGGAGCTGTACTTCCTCAATGCAAAGTCTCTGGAAGCACAGTTCCACATTGCTGTCTGAGCTGAACACTAGCTCACAAGGGATGAAAAGTGGACATGGCACATATTTTGGTATAATGGATGCAGTGTAATAGCAGACTGTATGGTCATGCATGTTTTATTCTTTCTGTTGTGTTTTCCAGAGGGATAACCCATTGGCTGATAGAGTAACAAATGAGAAGTAACCTGACTCCATTGGCCTGCTTAACCCTGCAGGGAATGATGGGAAGGGGCAGCCGTTTGCTTTGAAACAGTGGAAACAGGTATGGAAAAGCCTCTTTCCTTGTTGCCTTCTTCTATGTCTCTGCACATCTATTTCCAGATTGGTTGAAAACAGCAAGTCCTTCCCGAGTGATATCAGAATTGGAGCCCTAGGCACAGGTACTGTGGCGTTGCTTGTAACATTTCTGAATTATCCCATCTTCAAACTGCTGTTTATATCAATACTGGAGACAGTTGTTTCAAAGAGCAAATAAGTAACCGTGTTAGGGAGAGTGATTTCCTTTAAATGTAGAACTAACGTGGCAGAAGTGCATTTAGCCTTAAGACACATTATTTGTATTGTGGGGACTTTGGTCCACCGAACAGGTTTCTAGGCAGGGGTAATAACACAATGAGCAAGGGTGATGCTTTCCAGACTGACAGGTGTTGAAAGTATGCTTCTTGTGTGGAGTGGACAATTTTTTCAGTCATGACGGAATCCTGCTCAAAAAGGCATAGTTTGATATTTTTCTAGTTTAAACAATTTTCCAAACAGAACCTTTTTTGAAAGGAAGTTATTTCAACATGAAAATTTATAGAAAAGCATTCTTAACCATACCTGAAGTTTCAGTTCTTTAAAAATACTCATTTTGAGTTATTGGCCTGTCACCATCAAGGTACAGTGCCTTCTCTCAGTTCTAATTACTACCTAGAAACAGGTGAGCCATATCTGGTTGGGTAGTGACTGCCTAGTGAGCAACAATTTAAGAAATTACCATATTAATGTCATTATAATGCAACTACAAAATAGTTTTAAGGCCAGAAACTTAAGCACAATGTACTGGATGATCAAAATTAAATTACTGAGGTGGAAATGTGGCTTTGTAGTAGAGTGCTTGCCTAGCATAAATGAAACTCTGGGTTTGATTCCTTAGTACCACATAAACAGAAAAAGCCAGAAGTGGCACTGTGGCTCAAGTGGTAGGGTACTAGCTTTGAGCAAAAGACACTCAGGGACAGTGCCCAGGCCCTGAGTTCAGCCCTAAGACTGGAAAAAAAAATTACTTACTGACTTTACATGGCAACATTTTTTTCTATTGGATGGATTATAGATGAGGGACCATGAATAAGTTATGAAGACTTGAATTTTGCATAGGAATATTAGAATTCGGAAGACTACAGGTAAAGAATTAAGAATTATGTCTTATATAACTAATTAGTTATGGCTCCTTTATCCATTTAAGGCTGTTAGGAATGGTTTTTACAGGATATTTTGAGTATTATTCTGTATTTGGTGTATTGTTGAGATACATCTTTATTTTCATATGTTAAGGGGTTCAAGACTTTGCTGTATTGAATTTGAGACTTAATGTCATCTAAATCAATAATATATGAAGAGTCTGGTTTCCGGCTCAGCATGGAGACAGAAAAAGTATGCCATTCCTGCAGCTGTACAGAGCGAGCATGTAGTCAGCCTTCCCTTTGTGTTTCACTCTATAGAAACAGTTGACAACTAGCTGCATTGGCCAATTGTCTTTGCCTTACAATACAATACAAATAGACTTTTAAAGAAGTGGCTTAATTAAGAGGAATTATCTGTCTAATGAGAAATACCTTTGTAATGATAGCAAAGACAGGAAACATAACAAACTTTCCACACCATAAAACAATAGCTACTAGATCTCACTTAGCAGGAATAAACTAAACACAAGTCGATTTCTAAGGGAAGTGGTTACTAAAAATTACCTAAACCAAAGGACTAGCTGGTTATGGTATCTCCATGAGTGTGAGTTTGTGTGTTTTATACATGGAGAAGAAAAAGATGAAGAAGCATGATCCAGAGACAATGAAGCTGTGTCTGGGACTGCTTCTAGAACTGCTCTCTGGAAGAGTTGAGATGTAGCCCCCAATTGGGTCAATCTTCTGGTTCCAACGTGGAATAGTTTTGAAGAAGGCAGCCTTGGGGTAGGGGGTGTATGAAAAACACACCAAACATCACAGATGCTGGAGGGCTTTGTCAGACCCACTGGCTGCCTCACATTGGGAAGGATACTAAACCAGGCCCAGGCACTCTAACCTCTAGGAACATGAGCATCTTCCTCTGTGAAAAGAATGACAGGTAATGGTAAGGCTCTTGGGCTTGCTTTGGTGTATCTAGCCAAAATAATGCAAATACTTCATCTTATGCACCCTAGTTCCCAGGGAAAATTAAAGAGAACCAGAAGCTTAGGAATGGCCAGGGAAGAGTGTTTTTGTCATGGTGGAAAGAATAAGTTTAGCAAAGACTAAAAGAGCTCACTGAAGGATGTGGTGATGTTCTTTTCAGTAGTATGGAAATTCCTCAGTCTTAACCCACGGGCCAGGAAATTTTATTGTTTATGCAACTTACAAATTGGCCTCTTGGTAGAAGTTCCTAAGTACTTGGCCACCCATACATTCCTCTACTTTCTTTAAGTCTAAAAATGTGATTTTTAAAAAAATTGTCACAAAGGCTCTTGACAGTATACACCAAGTAACTGGCTGATTTTTTTTTTTTATTGTACCAGGGTTTGAACTTAGAATCTCTCAGCTCACTCAGATTGCTTACTTGGTGGATACTCTACTACCTGAGCCATGCCTGTAGCCCTATTTTATGCTGGTTATTTTAGAGATGGAGTCTCATGGACATTTCTTCCTAGATTGGCTTTGAACTAAAAATCCTCTGGATTCATCGCTTCTTGAGTAGCTAGGATTACAGATATGAGCCACAAGGGCCAGGCTGTACTTTTTAAACTATCCCCTTTCATAATTCTCCTTAGGGACCTCCTTCATTTATACATACAAGCTCCTTAGATGCTGCTGTGCGCTCCCCTGGCATGCACACAGTTGCAAGGAACCCTTATGACCCTGGGGCAAGATACAGCACAAGTCTGCATATTGTCATTGTTAAGCCAAGTTTTTTTTTTTGGGGGGGGGAGTCCGGTTGTGGGGCCTGAACTCTGGGCCTGGGCGCTGTCCCTTAGCTCTTCAGCTCAAGGCTAGCACTCTACCACTTGAGCCACAGCGCCACTCCCGGCTTTTTTCTTATGTGGTGCTGAGGAATTGAACCCAGGGCCTCAGGCATGCAAGGCAAGCACTCTACCACTGAGCTACCTTCCCAGCCCCCTGTTAAGCCAAGTTTTGAGAGCTGTAAATTCACTGCTGGCTTTGAAAATTATTTGCCAATTGTGAAGTATCTAAAAATACCAAGTATTACTCAACGTGGCACACTAAACAAAAAAGGCTTGAGAATCAGATAGATCCTAATGTACAACTCACTTGTATGAACCTGAGCCATTTATTTTACTTCCATTGTATTCAATTTCCTCTGTATAAAATGGGACAGCAACACATAGAGGAATATGCTTATTATCACTGAAGGGCTACCAACTAGTTCTTGTCTATGAGGCTTCATAAGGTGATACCATGATTAAAATAGCAAAAGACTGTCAAGGCTCAGTCAGCTGATGGGGAGGTCCCTAGAGGGCATTGCAGGCCAGACTTCTTGTCACCACATTTTCCAGGATGATATATAAATTCTGGGTATTTGTTTACTGTTGTATGAAGAGAAAAGGCTATCCTGGCAGTCAAAAATACATGTGTCAACATTGAGGTTAGAAGTGTGGCTCATTTGGTGGAGCGAAAGCAGCAGGTAACAAGAGTAAGTCCCAGTCTCAGACATTTAGAAAAAAGAAAAGAAAGAAAAGAAATATTACGTCAACATTAACCAATCTAGGCAGTCTTAAGGGACAAGAATACCATTCCATTCAGTCACTAAGAGATGTAATTGTCACATTGGCCAGTACAAAGAACTCAATGTGTAGATGACCAGTGTGTTTTCCTCAAGGAAGACCTATACAAGATGCCATGTCCTAAACAGAAGATGGCCTGAGGAATGTGGAGTTAGACGAGTCAAATGTTTAAGAACACAAGGCTAAGATTACTGCATGAGTTTCGTTAAAGTGGGACTGCCTAGCCAATGGGATCTTTCAGCTCAGTGGTACTTGGATGGCCCAACCAGTATTTACTTGCCTCTACATTTGCTATTCTCTACATGTCCATGTCTAGTCACTACTTTTGAATAATAACCCAAGAAAAAGCTTGACACCTCTCAATAATGTCTTTGCAGTTATTAGTTCCTTCAGGTCTTACAGGCCTAGGAGACATTTATTTCTTTAAGATGACTGACAGCTAAGGGGGTCTGTCCTGAGCCATTATGCCCTGACCTCTCAGTTTAAGTTCTTGGAGGTTCTTCTCTGGTGCCCCCTGGTGCTGATTCCAGGACTGATATGACATCTATGAAAGCTGTCTTTCTGGCACATAAAGGTGGTCAGTAAATGCTAGTTTATGGTTCTTCTTCCCTTCCACAAAGCATAAAGCTTTAAGATTTTTAAGGGCCATGATACTATTTATGCAGCAGACAGAGATTACAAAAATTAAAGACAAGGGAGTGAGCAACAATATTGGTTTTTGTTTTGTTTTTGTCAGTCATGGGGCTTGAACTCTGGGCCTGGGCACTGTCCTTCAGCTCTTCAGGTCAAGGCAAGCACTCTACCACTTGAGCCACAGCGCCACTTCCGGTTTTCTGGTGGTTTATTGGAGATAAGAGTCTCACGGACCTTCCTGCCTGGGCTGGCTTTGAACTGCGATCCTCAGATCTCAGTCTCCTGAGTAGCTAGGATTACAGGAGTGAGCCACCAGTGCCTGGCCAGCAACAATGTTTTGCTGAACATTATAACCCACTTGTTCTCAATCCGCATGCTGTGAGGTCACTGTGGTCTCACTGGTTTTCATTCTGCTTTGCTGACAGATGTCATCCATACAAGCATATGGCCCTAAGTCCTGCAGAATTCTCTCATTGGGGATTACTTTCATAAACATTACTCCACACAATCCTCAATTGTGTGTGTGTGTATGTGTGTGTGTGTGTGTGTGTGTGTGTGTGTGTGTGTATGTGTTGGTCCTGAGGCTTGAACTCAGGGCCTGGTTGCTATCCCTAAACTGTCTGGCTCAAGACTAGGGCTCTATGACTTGAGCTGCAGCT